GAGTACTCCAGCAGATATTTGTCAAAACTAGACATGTTCAAAATATAAATACAAGCGAATTTCATGCATAAGCTGTCTGAAATACGAAGGCGGTTACATGAGATGAAGACAATAAAAAGGACAAAAAGAAGTTGATCTCTATCCATTATTTATTCTTTCAACAACTTCGAAATCAAATGGAACAAATCCAGGAAAGTACCGCTGGTGTGGCCGGTTCAGCTAGCCGGCCCGCTAACAACAACAGCCCCCTGGCGCGCGTATCCAGCTGGCCACCGAATTTTACCGGCCCCACTGGGCCCCCAGTACCGGCAAAGGCACGCTGCAGGGCCTGGCACGCTGGTTAGTGTTACTGGGGGGCGGGTTGTTGTGTTGCTGTTAGCACGCCTGGCGGTTAACCCTGGGTGCCCCAGAGTCCGGCGTTTATTTGGCGATAGATTTCGGGAGAAACCGTATTTGTCCGCTACCATTATCCACCCAAACCCCTTCGTCCACGCGAAGCCCTCTATATAAACGCCTCATGCGCGAGGAGATATTTAGAATTTAGACCCAGTGTGCCAAGTAGGTCTGCCGGGAGTATGGCTTCCCGTGACTTTTACTTAGGAGATAGACACTCGCGCGCGGGGTGGCACCCAGGCTAGCCCGACGGGTACCCGCCGGTGGACCGCTGTGTCATTCCCGCGGCGCCGGCTGTAATGGCTAGCGCTTACTGTCGCCCCGACTAGCCTCTACCAGGCACCGTGGATCGCTGGAAAAATAATAGAAATTGGCCGAAATAAAGGGAATATATACCAAGGGAGTTAGCCGACCCTTATTCCCTTTATTTCGGCCAATTTCTACTATTTTTCCAGCGATCCGCGGTGCCTGGTAGAGGCTAGTCGGGGCGACAGGCACGCACTGCCGCCGCATTGCTTACGGGAGGCCAGGCGCGCGCTACCGAGCGGGGAATCAATGTATGCACGACGATCTGCAGGGGCCGCAGCGCAGGATCGTAAAAAATGGCCTAATAGCATACATAATAACATCTACATAAGACCTACACGAACCAGCGCCCACCCCAAAATTTCCAGTACGAAATAAAAATACCAAAATTTTATCGATCCTGTCAATAGTAGAATAATTTGCACTGCTGACAGGAAAAATCCTGTCAGCAGTGCAAATAATTTGCACTGCTGACAGGAAAAATCCTGTCAGCAGTGCAAATTATTCTACTATTGACAGGACGATCCTGTCAGCAGTGCAATATTTTCTGCTATTGACAGGACGATCCTGTCAGCAGTGCAATATTTTCTGCTATTGACAGGACGATCCTGTCAATAGCCACAGGCAATGTTAAATGTTAGGACACAAATTGAATGAGGTGACACAGATTAACAAGCAAGAAGTCTTTTATTCATCATCAAAACAGCAATAAATCAGGTGGAACAGCAGTTGTCGTCCTGTCCTGTTTCTTTCATCACATTTTTGCAGGCCTGCAGAAACAAAGCATGTGCTCTTTACCCATTTCGCGTTACAGGTTTCACGTCAATCTAACGATTTGCGGCTCTGTCGTGACTCTTTGGTCATAGTTACAGGAAGCGGAATGTCTTGTTTTTTTTTTCTAGGAACAGGCCAAAATCAATGCGCGCGCGGACGTCATCCATAAAATTTACTTGGTGTGGCCTTACAAAAAAAACAAAACTGTTGCGGTTATACTTTAATTTCACATGAAAGCCATCGAAGATCGACAGAAAGAGCGGATATGAGTAAGTACAAGTTTTCACCATGGCCCTAAACGAAATACCCTACATGTATCTGTAGTAAGCGTTATTTGTTATGGAAATAACAAAACACGGTACCAAGACTAAAATGCCACATTTTCGAACAAGGTAATAGAACGGATCTCGTACCCAGTTTGTGACGTCACATGAAGCTCTGGGTACGAGGTGGTAATGGAACAGTCAAAAGTACATGTATGTCTGTCCCCTGTGTTTGACAATGGCTTTATGACATCTATAGAATGGGACTCTACCATTGTGCAACATTTGAGGGGGGTGAATCTTGTAGCTGTTCTAGCATGTTGCTAAGAATACACATCTCTGCCGACATAATATTGATTCCCAATATTATGTGACGTTATGATATGTTACTTGAAGCAAAATTTATTCTTTGGTGCAAGATAAAATCTAAGCACGAATCTTAACAATTTAAAAAACAAGTACCAAATAAACCCACCTCTTAACCGTTTGTTGTAATCCAACGTCAGAGTGTATTGTACTAGAATGTTGTGTTTGGATGCGTATTTCGAGGTTTGATGACCAACTACAGCAATAAGAAGAAATCATTTTGAGGCCGTCTTTTTTTAAAAAAATGAGTTATAGTCGGAAAGCAACTCTGCCCTCATTGGGTACCGGGGACCGCTTCCATTTCACGCTGGCCCTTGGACAAGATGAGATTGAAGGTGTCTGCAAAGAGGACATCGACGAGGATTGGTATCAGGTCTATGGCCCGAAAAGAGAGCAGATCGAAGCCCTGCAAAACTTGAAAAAGAAGAAAAACAAAGATGGGCGTCGCTTCAAACATCTTGTTCAAAGGATGATCGTGTCCAGTCGATGGATTAAGGAGGCGGCGTACCACTCCCAGGAGCTGACAAGGAGGAACATCTTGAGCAGGAGGATGTCTGAAGACAACTTGGACTTCAACTTAAACGACTTCAGGTGCGAAAGTTGACGTATAGTAGCTGATTTCCAGACGACATTTTTACGTTTTTTTCTCTTACTGCTCTATTTTCTCTTTCGCAAGTTTTTATGAACCCCTATCTGCAACTGTTCTGTTCTTCTCCACAATCTTTTAGTCGGTTCCTAAAGTCTAGAATGCATTTTCTACAGAGCTCCGAGATCCAACACGGCGTTTTCGGGACTCTCTTCCAAAGAGAGTGACGTCTTGAAAAAGCACCCGTGGCTCCGGACACCAGCAGACGTGGACGCCCTGACCAAAGTCGTCAATCGGATCAAGATGTTTGACCGGTTCGTCTGATTGTTTTCTAAACATTTCATACTATTTTGGGTTACATTGATACTTTGCACAAGAAATTGCAGATATTCATTTGGCTCTATTCGATATTATAAGTAGTGTAACAGTGGGGGATTTATAGGCGCTACCAACTGACCCGATCTTTTAGCCGAGTGGTTTGAGCGTCAGGATATGAAGCTGGTGCTCGGGAAGTCGTGGGTTCGAACCCCGGCCCGGGACCAGGGTTTTTTATCTGTTTCTACTCGCTCCTCGCTTACAGGAGTTTCAGTTTGCGTAGCTATAAAACAACTTATGGGTACCATCATGGGTATCAGTCCATAAAAGAATTACCTTGCCTTTTCCTCTGATATTTTGTTGTTCTGAGCTTAGACACTCCCCGGCCATGAAACGTGCGATCGCGAGGTTCATGCAGTTTGAGTCGTTTGGTAACGGCCGAGTCATCATCGAGCAAGGCACGCCGGGAATCTCCCTGTACATCATGGTGTCGGGAGTAGTACAGGTGGTCCTGACAGAAACGGATCCGAGAGGCAAGACCCCTTCTTCTGACGTTTAAAAAATTCACAAAAAATCAATTTCAAAAGATATCTTAAAATGCTGCCGTACGTTCAACTAAATCACTATATAACTTATTCATCCTTCATGAAAATATTAGCGCTGTACATTCAATCGTTAGGGTGTGGCAACAACTTTTTTTAAAAAGGGGCGTGGCCTGTAATTTTTATTACGCCAACATGACGTCATGAAATTTTGCATAAATTATCATATTGTACCAAAGTATTTGTAGACAAAAAAATCAAGAGCCATACATATCACAAAGTATTTTTAAGACACCCCTAGAAGTGCTCAGCCACCCGCTGGCCCTACCTTAAATGTAACTAAAGTAAAACAGACTGGTTACCTCTTTTAAGCTTGTTTGTCTTCTTACTACATTAAACTAGCCATTCTTAAAGGTACGCGTAACGTACGTTTTACACCCCCTTCACTGCAGGTAAGACCACGTCGCGGGTTGTTGGTGTGTTGAGGCGGGGTCAGTGCTTTGGCGAGCTCGCTCTCATGCACGACACCAAGCGGAGCTCCAGCATTATTGTAAAGGGTAAGTCTGGTAACTAACTGGTAACCTGAATTTCTGGCAGCTCCCCAGTGTCACTGACGAAAGGTACATGTAGTGGATGCTACCTGAGGCGACTGACCGTTTCCAAAACCATATCCAGTTGCTTGAGTAACTGTTTTTGGCGTATCTTATTACCTGGATGTAGACCTAACCTTCACCGACGTGGTAAGTCTGGTAAGCCGGTCACCTATTCCCTGAAAAAGACTGAATCAAAAGGTTTATGTTATGATTCGATGCGATGTCATTTCTTCTTCATTTGGCTTCAACAGGAAAAGCCGAGTTGATCCGACTGGATAAAGATGACTTCGAGCTGGCGAGGAGGATGACGAGGAAGCACGAGCTGGCAGAGCGGCTGCAGGCCCTGGAGAAACACGACGCCTTCAAGGAGTGGGGCGAGCTCGATCTCCGCCAAGCGATGATGAGGTGCAGCGTGGAGGAGTACCCTCCCAACTCGGTGAGTTATTATTTTTTTTAGTAAGGCCACAGCAAGTAAATTTTATGGATGACATCCCCTGCAGACTCCAAATCTAATGCGAGCGGGCAAAAAAAAACAAGGCGGGCCGAAAAAAACAAGGTTCCTACATTCTAAAATGTTGACTCAATCATTGTACAAATGGTTTTTATTCAATGCGAACATCATATACACAGCCAGCATCACATATCACTGCATCAAAGTAAGAAACAAAACATTAAGTCAGAGCCTTTTCTTGTCTCCTCTCTTCATAGTTATCTGCCCTCCACCTTCCGGCATGGCAACAGACATCTTTGCCCATTTTCGGCATGTTGACCACTGTCAGAAGGCAACAAAATGTCTTGTTTTTTTTTTCAAAATCAGGCGAAAATTAATGCGCGCGCTGATGTCATCCATAAAAATTACTTGCTGTGGCCTAACTTAGAAACTTAGACACAGAGGTGGGCAACTCCAGCAGGTTGCTAATCTTAGCCCCACCACAGACAAGTGGGAGAACATACAGTGGTAAATAAGAATAACAAAACAATAACAAGTACCAAAACAGCAAATAACAAAACAGCAAATGCGATATAAACGATAACATGTAAACAGGATCATAATGCTTTGAAAAAGAATGGTTTTCGGTAGGCATTTGGACACATTTAGTGAAGTGTAAACCGTTTTAATTGAACAATGTAGGATTGAGTTCAAGATATGTAGGATTGAGTTCAAGCCAAGGTCAAGATATGTCTGTTGGCTATCGGGGGGTAAGTTAGTGACTCGGTAAGTTCGTTGGCACTGTGAAGTTTGCAAAAGTTTCGGCGCGGAACTCCTAGAACCAATACATTACTACGATTGCGTTGAAAATATTTCAACTAGGAAATTTCATTGTAGCCTTTGTTGTGTTGTGTTGTGATAGGTAATCTTTGGAGGCGTGGAGGGAATTATCGAAGAAGTGTTCTTCGTGGTCTCGGGAGAATGTCGCATCGTCCGCCGCATGGCCTTCCTGGAGAGGACGCACCCGGACGGAACCAAGGCACTCGCCATGGCACCCAAGAAAAACACCGGCTACAAACTCAAGCCTTACGAGGAAATTGTGCCGCGTTTTCTACAAGTCAGGGTACTGAGGGAAGGCCAATTCTTTGGAATAGGTACAGAATTTTCAGTACCTTTTTTTGGCGACGACTCAGGGGCGGAGCCGTTGGTATAGTACTGCGATTGAGTTGAAAATATTCTAAGAATTCCACCAATGCATTCCCTAGAGAATTGCCTTTTGGCGATACCTTGCGGGACCTATTCTCGGGGAAGGTCGTTAGCTTTCTATATATGTCCCGTTTTTCTACTCAGGAATAACATGTAAGCTGTAACAAAAACCTGCGATCTATCAAAGCATATGGCCTAAGGATCTTGACGTCGAAAAATGTTTGCGCTCACATCGTACCCCATCATTATCAATCATTCTCAAATTCTTCTTCTTCTTATATTACAGGCGAACAGCTGAAGAGCATTTTCTATCTATCCGGTGGCGTGAGCAGTTCGAAAATCCTGCGGGTGGACCGCGCCCTCCTCTACCGGCACGACGACGGCATCACCCTCGGGCGCCTGGAGTTCATGGCCCGGGGAATGATCCCGACCAAGGCGGAAACCTTCACGACGTTCATGGAAACCCGTCTGTGGGAGAAGTTTAAAGCCAATGTGTTGAGAGAAGTCCTGGAGAGAAAACGTACAAACAAGACACGAAAAATGACATGACTGACTTCAACAAAACATTGGAAAAAAAAACACATTCTACATACTGAAATAAAAAAAATGAAATGAGATTCTCGTGTGTATTAAATGTACACCCGTATAGATATATAGCAACAAGCTCAGTGCTTGCTCAACATCCAGCATGCTAAGGTAGCCGTTTGGTTAATGAAATAACGATAAAGAGAAAGAACATTCTACAAATGATATGCGATAACCTTGTAATGTACTTAGGCATTGGGTGAGCAGATCAATGCTTTGGCCCTATCAACGTTATCAAAACAATTAGTACCTATACGCGTGTTTGTGTGTATATATACACACCTATGCATGTTTACACTATGAAGCCCTATCTTATCGGACGCCCACGACCCAGCAGAAAAACTTCCTCTAAATACCTTTCCAGATCATCCAACGTCCAGGATAGTTTGAAAATAGACAATAGATCAATATCATACCATACCTTCAACATGATTGTGTACAAGCGAAGTATACGTAGTTCAGTTCATCGCCACACACAACGATTGGTTTGTACAATCAAAAATCAATAAGTATGGAGTTATTTACCTGTGTTCGTCCTTGCACCGAACTGGCACGAGATCAAAGAGGTATATATAAAAAAATACCAAGAATGCGGAGATCTCATACCTCCATGAAATATCAGTTTTTGTAATTGTTTTTTTTTCTCATTTACTATGGAAATAATGTCGTTATTGCCATACTAGTAATCTAGTTTAATTTATGGTTTTCTAAATTCAAATCACAATATTTGGCGTGTTAGGGTCCTCTCCTTTATTTCAATATGTCCTAATTAATTATGCAAATGACCTCTACATTAACATAATAAATGTATAGTGATGTTAACCTTTAAGTAACTTACACATCTCACAAGGTATGATCTGCTTGGAGATTACGTTTACTTACTTAATGTCTCTCTTTCCCCTTTGCCAATAGTTTAGGTTTCAGATTACTTGTTATGAAAAGTAAATGCACAAAGACATACCAACTTTGGTTTTATTTGATAAATATTGAATAATACACACTCAGGCAATACTATGACCTATCTCAGAAAGCCTTAGTATGTGTCACATGTACAATGGTTAAAAACCGTTTATTGTTACCATTATCCCTGTAGTTTGAATTGGTTAGTGCATGCTGCCAAAATAGATAAGCAAACGAATAAACAAACAAACAAACAAACAAACAAACAAACAAACAGTGGTTCCACAATATGTTTCATGTAGCTTCATGACCACCGCTACAGAAACTGTATTCCCGCGTAAATTACAATGTACAAATAAAAAAAGTATCGTGATGCAGTTTTAACACAAAGTTGAAGCGCACATATGCAGCAAAGTACTATACTACATAAAACTGTCACCTATGTTACAGTTGTAATAAACAAGAAAGAATTCTTTGAGTACGATACTAGTATCTCAAGAAAGTCGCACTGCTACTTATTATTATGTTTACCGAAGGAAAACATATTGTTTTTGCTCAATTTCTTCTTCTTCTTCTTCTGTTCCAAACACTAACCTCTGACCTGGCTAATGGCCTCTTTTGTTGACGTCTGTAACCATAGTAACTGGTGTTGGGTTACATAATGTTGCAATTTCATAGTAGACATTTAGACTCCTGTCATCATATACATGTATGTGAATGTGTTTGAGTAAGAATTAACAGAGCAGACCATATCCGAAGGTAAACATTATGCATTTGCTTTGCAAATGTTACTTTTCTAGTTAGTCGTACTTCTCCTCAAAGACTTGTTCTCTTGTCTTCCTCTTCGACAGTGACCTTAGTGTCCTTGACACTGGTGTCCTTGACTTGACCTTTCTCCTTGTCAGGGTCATCCTGACAAAAAGTAACAAAGATTCCATACCTCAGTGAAATATGCATTTGACAAGTTCTTGTTTCATCAATTATATTATTTTTTTTTACGAATTTGTCATTTCTCATTCCCTCTGGCATCCAACCATGCAGCGTTCGAAACTCTGGGTCTGACATTTTGTTGTATGTACTTAAGGAATCCCCTCCCCAATATCATTTGGAAATGTATATTCACTGTATCATAAAATACAACAATAAAACCCCTCAAGCATTTACAATTTTAGAATACCGTACCAAAGTTTTGCTTTGATTACGGATGCCACCATGGCATGTTAACCCTTGTCCTGCTGACATTTTTTTTCAAAATATTTCTCAATAATTTCACACTCAAAACTTGAGTGTGCCGTCACCACGTCTGGTGATTACATGTTGGAATAAAAAAAAAAAAAAAAAAAAAATTTCATGTCTTGATTAGGTCATAGACACCCAACTTTTTTGCCCTGCGGTGGCATATAGAACTACAGAGTTCTATATAGAACATCAATTGTTGGGCTCCGCAGGACAAGTTATTAATAATGTACACTTACGGATACGGCCAAGTCTTTCATGTCGATTTCTTCCTGCAACTTTCCCGACAACTCAACTCTGACCCTTGCCCTCGGGATCTTAACCTTGGTGCTCGGTGTTCGAAATTTGCTGAGGTCAAGTTTGCCTCCCTGTTGCCTCACCCTCCACATCTTTTGTTGAAAGGACAAATTTTCATCAGGGTTTACTTGAACAATTTTTCCATGGGAAGAAGAAAAAGATATCGTGTTAGGAAATAAATGACTTTTTAAATGAATGAATGAATGAATGAAATACCTTTATTGTACATTCATGCCAGGACGGGCTAGGTACAGGTCAAGACTTAACAGACACATAACAAACGTATGTAGAAAAGTGGAGACAATTAAGATACACTACTTGACTTAGGCATACGTACATGTCTTACCAAAAAAGCAGCTCCTGCCGCAGCACAGATAAGAGCGATACAGATGAGAGCTACTCCCCATCCCGGAAACGCCCCATCCGACTGTACATTCGCATCCATACGTATATCCGTGGTTGTAGATTGAGTTGTAGTGGCCGTAGTTGTAGCTTGAGTTGTAGTGGCCGTGGTTGTTGGCTCAGTTGTAGTGACCATGGTTGTAGGCTGAGTTGTGGTGGCCGTGGTTGTAAGCTGAGTTGTAGTGACCATGGTTGTAGGCTGAGTTGTGGTGGCCGTGCTTGTAGGCAGAGTTGTGGCGGTCGTAGTTGTAGGCTGAGTTGTGGTGGCCGTGGTTGTAGGCCGAGTTGTAGTGGCTGTGTTTGCAGGCTGAGTTATGGTGGCCGTAGTTGTAGGCTGAATTGTGGTAGCCGTGGTTGTAGGCCGAGTTGTAGTGGCCGTAGTTGTAGGCTGAATTGTTGTGACCATGGTTGTAGGCTGACTTGTAGTAGCGACCGTGGTAGGCTGAGTTGTAGCGACCGTGGTTGTAGGCAGAGTTGTGGTGGACGTGGTTGTAGGCTGAGTTGTGGTGGCCGTGGTTGTAGGCTGACTTGTAGTGGCCGTAGTTGTAGGCTGAGTTGTAGCAACCGTGGTTGTAGGCAGAGTTGTGGTGGACGTGGTTGTAGGCAGAGTTGTAGTGGCCGTGGTTGTAGGCTGGGTTGTAGTGGTCGTGGTTGTAGGCTGGGTTGTGGTGGCCGTGGTTGTAGGCTGAGTTGTAGCGACCGTGGTTGTAGGCTGAGTTGTGGTGGACGTGGTTGTAGGCTGAGTTGTGGTGGACGTGGTTGTAGGCTGAGTTGTGGTGGCCGTGGTTGTAGGCTGAGTTGTGGTGGTCGTGGTTGGTTTTGTCAGAGCTGTCGTGGTTGTAGGCTCAGTTGTTGTGGCCCTGGTTGTAGACCGAGTATTTGCGGCTGTGGTTGTAGGCTGAGTAGTTGTTGACATAGTTGTAGGCAGTTTGGCTGTGGTTGTGGTCTGTGTTTTAGTGCTCATAGTTGTAGGCTGAGTTGTAATGATTGTTGTTGTAGGCAGTTTTGTCGTTCCTTTCGTTGTAGGTTGATTTGTTGCAGCATTGGTTGTAAGCTGAGTTGTTGTGGTAGTGGTTGTCGTTTGAGCCTTGGTTTGGACTATCGCAAGCGCCATGATTAAAAGAATGGACCATTGTATCCTATACACAGAGATCGTTGCTGGCATTTTCGCTACAGCAACAACACCAAGAAAACATTACAAACTAGAGTTCCACGATCTCATACCTTCGCCAAATGATGTTAGCTTTTATGATTAAGAAATTATATATTAATCCCCCTAATTATGCAAATAGGATCCTCAATTGCATGAATTATATCTGTTGATCATATTCTCCACCAAAAGACAGTCTTATCTTAACAAAGAATGCCATGATGAAATTTTCTCATAAATTATGCAAATGAGGTCCTTATCTAAATAAGTTATGTTTAATTATGTTCACCTTAACTTAACTTTCAAACACCCCATGTATAAAATTCCAGGCAGTTACCACTATGCAATTATAATATTTTCTCATTAATTATGCAAATTAAGTCTTCATTTGCATAATCGATATCTGCCTGTGTTTCTCTCATTCTTAATAACATATGTCACAAGCTTGAACTTCCCATTATGGAATGCAGCTGATAAATAGAATTTCCTCATTAATTATGCAAATTACATCCATATTTGCATAATTGTAATATCATTATGTCAAGCATCACTCAAGCTACCTACATACCAAAAATCACGATGATCCATCCATCGGTTCTTGAGTTATCCCCCTTTAAACATTTGTCCATTAAACCCACCTGCAGTTCTAGAGCAAGCAACTAGGGGGCTCAAACTCATGTCACTTTATCCCCAGCACAAGAGCTATCTACCATCTAAATTTCGTCACCCTAGCATGTCTGGATCATGAGATATCAAAACCGGAAGTTCTGCTGCAGTACCATGACAAGCCGCCAGGTGGCCCAAAATCTAATCATTTTGAGGTCTCATCAAGACCTACCCACCTACCAAGTATCAAGACAATCCATCAAGACCTTCTCAAGTTATCGTGTTGACAGACACACACACACACACATACACGAACGCCCTGAAAACATAACCTTCTTGGCGAAGGTAATAA